TGATCTGGATCATGTCATCACAGGAAAAGTTCATGGTTCCCTCCATTTTGTTCTCTTCATATTTCCCATGTCCATTTCAGAGCACCTCTTCCCTTCTCCACTTTGATTTCTCTCTTTTTTACCTTGAGACTCAAAAACCATTCAACAATGAAAAATAAGACCATATTGACTGAGTTCATCCTTCTGGGTCTAACAGATGTCCCTGAATTCCAAGTGGCAATTTTCACTTTTTTTTTCCTGACCTACTTTCTCAGCATCATTGGAAACCTGACTATCCTCATCCTCACCTTGTTGGACTCCCACCTTCAGACTCCCATGTATTTTTTTCTCCGGAACTTCTCCTTTCTGGAAATTTCCTTCACAAACATCTTCATTCCCAGGGTCCTCTTCAGCATCACCACAGGGAACAAGAGTATCAGCTTTGCTGGTTGCTTCACTCAGTACTTCTTTGCCATATTCCTTGGATCCACAGAGTTTTATCTTCTAGCTGCCATGTCCTATGATCGCTATGTGGCCATCTGCAAACCCCTGCATTACACGATCATCATGAGTGGCAGAGTCTGCACCCAGCTGGTTCTCTGCTCTTGGCTGGCTGGGTTAATGGTTATTATACCACCATTCACTCTAATGAATCAGCAGGACTTTTGTGCATCCAACAGGCTGAATCATTATTTCTGTGACTTTGAGCCTCTTCGAGAACTCTCCTGTTCAGACACTAGCCTCATGGAGAAGATAGTCTTTCTTGTGGCATCTGTGACCCTGATTGTCACTCTGGTACTAGTGATTATCTCCTATACATTTATCATCAGGGCTATTCTGAAGCTTCCTTCAGCCCAGCAGAGGTCAAAGGCCTTTTCCACCTGTTCTTCCCACATGATTGTCATCTCCCTCTCTTACGGAAGCTGCATCTTCATTTATATTAAACCCTCAACAGAAGGAGACACATTCAACAAGGGAGTAGCTCTACTCATTACTTCAGTGGCTCCTTTGTTGAACCCCTTCATTTACACCCTAAGGAACCAACAGGTAAAACAAGCCTTCCAGGA